TTAAATTTAAAATTTTTTTCCCCAGGTTACTGGGAAAGGGTTGGTGCCAGTCACAGTATACGGGAAGATATGGTGTCACCCAGGATTTCACCTATGCAGGTTGGGGGGCTCTAAATGGGGATCCCCTTTGGAGAAACCCTTTGGCCTTTCAATTTTCTCAGGACTGGTAATTCCTGGTATGCAGTACCTGGATTCCAGAGACATTTTAGAGTATTTGGTGGAAAGAAGCAACCAACCCTAGGTCCCACGGTTTTGATGGTGACCAGTACCTATTGATTGGTGCATGTGTGCACAAGCTTATCGTATTATGAGCTGAACAGAGTTGAGGGTCTCCATTTCACCTGTGGAGAAAGTAGTGCTGCCAGTGAGCAAGCATGTGCGAGGAGAACACAAAAACACTATTTGTCTGCAACACACCATGTCAACAATCTGGAGATTACCAGCTTCTGCAAGGATCAGTGTGTAAATACAGATCGTTTTCTTTATTGAGAAAACTAGACATGTTAATTTTGGTTTCATAAGGAAATCATTTATTGTAGATACAGATGCATAGGAAATCTCACCGAGATGTACATACATAATGAATGCCAAATAATTATAAAAAAAAAGTTTATAATGAAATAAACAAATTGCATATTGGATTCATTCGCTGACATCATTGGGGGGGGGGGGGTGAGGGGGGGGGGGGGGGGGGGGGTGATGACAATTATTCACAAATTCGACATTCGGCTGATTCTACCGAAATATAGCGTTAATAGATATGATTCGATCACGAATTTATATTCGCTGCGAATATAACTTATTGAAAAGGTGGTTCTCGCATCAGATAGCCTTTATATTAGTGCAGAACACGTACCTTTAATTTAAATGCCCTTTGGAGTCTGCTGGGGGAAGAGAAATAATACTGATCAGTCAGTATGACATGCAGATAGATGCCGTCGATCTTAGAATCACCGCACACTTCACTCATTTGGGCAGTCACGGGGCCAAAACCAGTGTGGAGCCACAGTGTGGCGGTGGAGGCAGCACAATGGGAGGCCATACAGCACCCTATGACAAAATGGAACCCACCAGCAGTGTGAGGAGACCTGAAAGTGGCACATGGCAGAGTGTGGCGATGGAGACAGCAGCAATGGAGGCCGTACAGGGACCCATGACAGACTCTGGACCTGGCAGCAGCATGAGGAGGCGGTACAGGGGCCCATTGGGCCTGGCAGAGCATGAGGAGTCGTACGGGGCCCATTGGCCTGGGCAGTCAGCATGAGGAGGCGGTACAGGGGCCCCATGGCAGAGTGGCAAGCGTATAAGCAGCTTAAATTGAAGGCCATACAGAGGCCTATGTTAAAAAGTCCCCCCAGCAGCAGTGTGGGGAGACGACATCAAGAGTCCAATGGCAGAGTGGCGGAGCAGAAGCAGCTTCAATTGAAGGCCATACACAGTCCTAGGTTAAAAAGTCCCCCCAGCAGCAGCGTGGGGAGACGACTATCAAGAGTCCAATGGCAGAGTGGCGGAGCGGAAGCAGCTTCAATTGAAGGCCAATAGTGGTTGTGAAGCAGAAAGTCAGTTTATTGTACACAATCGGTCAATTGCAGCTTGCCGTTGGCTGGAAACTGTACGTTTAATGTCACTGGAATGCACTAATCACCCAAAAAATATTACCGCCAGCCGGCGTGTAAATGGATTTAACTCTTTGAACGTACAATAGTGGTTGTGAAGCAGAAAGTCAGTTTATTTTGCACAATCGGCAAACTGCAGCACCAACTGTGCACGACAGCCACCAAAAAAAAAAAGGGTGTATGTCACTTTAAATTTTCGATTCTTTGATAGCTGTGGCCCTAAGTAACGATTCTGTGTCCCTGAGTAACGATTCTGTGTCCCCTGAGTAACAATTCTGTGTCCCTGAGTAACGATTCTGTGTCCCTGAGTAACGATTCTGTGCCCTAAAGTCTCTGTGGCCCTAATGCAGGCCATAGATGGGTTAGATGAAAATCGGCCGATTTTTCGGCCGAAAAATAAAATCGGCCGATTTTCGGATCGTTAGTGGGCTATTTGGTCGGCCCCGTTTTTTTTTCGGTATTTTGGCCGGTTTTTTTTTCCTGTAAAGTTGGAAAAAAAAATCGGCCCGATTTTACCGATCGGCCGATTTTTTTCGCGGCAATAGTGGGCAAATCGGAACGATTTTTTTGCCGATAAAAAATCTGCGCATGAGCAGTGACCTGCAAGAGGAAGACAAAAAGAAGAAAAAGAAGAAAGAGGAAAGAGGATGAAGAAGAGGATGAAGAAAGAAGAAGAGGAAGAAGAGGATGAAAAAGAAGAGGATGAGGAAGAAGAAGATAGAAGAGGATGAAGAAGAAGAGAATGAAGAAGAAGAAGAAGAGAAGAAAAGAAGAGAGAGAGATGAGGAAATGATGAGGAAGAAGAAGAAGAAGAAGAGGATGAGGATGAAGAAGAAGAAGAGGATGAAGGAAGAAGAAGAAGAAGAGGATGAGGATGAAGAAGAAGATGAGAGATGATGAAGGAAGAAGAAGAAGAAGAGGATGAGGATGAAGAAGAAGAAGTGAAGAAGAGGATGAGGAAAGAAAAGGAAGAAGAGAAAGAAGAAGAAGAAGAGGTGAGGAGAAGAAGAAGAAGAAGAAGAAGAAGAGAAGAAGAAGAAGAGGATGAGGATGATGAAAAGAAGAAGAAGAGGATGAGGATGAGAAGAAGAAGAAGAAGAGATGAAGAAGAGGATGAAGAAGAAGAAGAAGAGGAAGAAAGAAGAAGAAGAAGATGAGGATGAGGAAGAAGAAGAAGAAGAAGAGGATGAGGATGAAGAAGAAGAAGAAGAAGAAGAAGAGGATGAAGAAGAAGAAGAGGAAGAGGAAGAAGAAGAAGAGGATGAGGATGAAGAAGAAGAAGAAGAAGAGGATGAAGATGAGGAAGAAGAAAATGAAGAAACGGATGAGGATGAAGAAGAAGAAGAAGAAGAAGAAGAAGAAGGAAGAAATGAAGAAGAGGATGAGGATGAAGAAGAAGAAGAAAAAGAAGAAAAAAGAAGAAGAAGAAGAAGAAGAAATGAGGATGAAGAAGAAGAAGAAAGAAGAGGATGAAGAAGAAGAAGAGGATGATGAAGAAGAAGAAGAAGAGGAGGATGGAGAAGAAGAAGGAAGAAGATGAAGAAGATGATGAAGAAGAAGAAGAAGAAGAAGAAGAAGATGAGGATGAGGATGAAGAAGAAGAAGAAGAATAAGAGGATGAGGATGAAGAAGAAGAAGATGAGGATGAGGATGAAAAGATGAAGAAGAAGAGGAAGAAGAGGATGAGGATGAAGAAGAGAAGAAAAAAGAAGAAGAAGAGGATGAGGAAGAAGAAGAAGAGGATGAGGATGAAGAAGAAGAAGAAGAAGAAGAAGAAGGATGAGGAATGAAGAAGAAGAAGAAGAAGAAGAAGAAGATATGAGGAGAGAAGAAGAAGAAGAAGAAGATGAGAGGATGAGGATGAAGAAGAAGAAGAAGAAGAGGAGGAAAGATGAAGAAAAGAAGAAGAAGATGAGGATGATGAATGAAGAAGAAGAGGATAAGAGATGAAGAAAGAGAAGAAGAAGATGAAGAAGATAGAGAGGATGAGGAGAAGAAGAAGAAGAAGAAGAAGATGAGGATGAGGATGAAGAGGATGAAGAAGAAGAAGAAGAAGAAGAAGAGGATGAGATGAGGAAAACAAAGAAGGAGGATGAGATGAAATGAAGAAGAAGAAGAGAAGAATGGTGAGGAAGAAGAAGAAGAAGGATGAGAATGAAGAAGAAAAGAGATGAGGATGAGGAAAAAAGAAGAAGAAAAGAAGAAGAGGAAGAAGAAGAGAAGAAGGAGGATGAGGATGAAGAAGAAGAAGAAGAAGAAAAGAAGAGGATGAGGATGAAGAAGAAGAGAAATGAGGATGAAGAAGAAGAGAATGAGGATGAAGAAGAAAAGAGGATGAAGAGAAGAATACAAGAAGAGGAAGAGAGGTGATGAAAGGATGAAGAAGAAGAAGAAGAAGAAAGGATGAGGATGAAGAAGAAGAAGAAGAAGATGAGAAAGAGGAAAAAAAGAGGATGAGGATGAGAAAAGAAGAAGAAGTAGGAAAAGGAAGAAAATAAGAAAAAAATTCCAGATCCAGCAAAAAGTGTATCTGCAGAGAGCTCCCGCTATTTCTAGACATATCGTTCTCTGACAGTTCCTTCACATTTACAGCGGTTGAAACATTGTATCTATTTGTTTCCGAATAAAAACATCTGTATCCTAAATGGAAACAAATAGATACAATGTTTCAACCGCTGTAAATGTAAGGAACTGTCAGAGAACTGTCAGAAAATAGCGGAGCTCTCTGCAGGGACACTTTTGCCGGCTGTAGAAGGGATGAAAATCGCCGATCGGGGAAAATTCGATTCGTGCATCCGAAGTTTGCTAATTTTTCGGATTCGGCGCGAATCAAATTTTTCCTAATATTCGAAACGAATTCCACTTCGTCATGTTCGATTCGCTCATCTCTAGACATCAAAATGATGCGATAGCAATTTGGACTCATGGGGAAATTAATTTAATTTTCAAATTCATTTTTCAAATTCATTCGATTTGAATTTAAGTAAATTCGTGATTTAAATTGAATCTCTAATTGTCTCAGTCAGTCAGTTTAATTCCACAGTCTGATGCAAATCTTGGATTTAAAAAAATGTATAATTCTATGTATTCTGTTATGTCAGAAAATATCAAATTGTTTTGAGAAATGAAAAACAAATCCACCCAAAATACCAAAACCAAAAACTAAGAAACAAAACGAATCCCATAAACAAATCAGTTTCAACATAACGAATATGACAAAACAAAATTCTTTAATGAACGAATGCATCCAAAACTAAAAGAAATGAAAAATTTAAGGCATGCACATTTTTACGAGAGGCCATATTCTGTTAGGTTGACAGGCAGCATAGCCAAAGCAGGACTGCTAACAGCCAGGAGGCAGTGGTAAAATCCTGCTGTAAGGATTTTTTTCTGTTATATAAACATGGGAAGAAGACTCATATACTAGTGAAGGGACTGTGTTCTTAAATGTCTACCCTTGATGCTAATCCTCACAATACATACCCATAACATGACAAAATACAGTATATATAAAGCTCGGTCTGCTGTAGCCTCCCTGGCGGTATTCCCGAGTGTAGCTCGGGGTAAAGTTTCAATACCAAAAGCAGTAACCCCGAGCTAAACTCGGGCTTACCATGCGGCGCTGCTCCGGTATCTGTTGTTCTCTTACCTTGTCCTGCGCTCCCGCAATGTCCCTCCTGCAGTGTCCCCTGTAATGTCCTCCAGCCAATACCGGCATCTGTCATCTGGGTTCCGTCCCCTGCGACGTTCTGTGTCCGGCCTGCATTTTTACTGTTCTTTCTGCCTGGAAACTGAGAAAAGTCCATGGCGTCCAAAAAGCGTCCCTTTAGGTCAAAATCGGTTTTAGACCAGCTAGAGAACAGCGATTGTAAATTAGAACCATTTGCAGAATTGAGTGATAATGATTCGTGGGGAAATTCGTCATCAGACACTGAAAACGTTTTTGCGACTTTGCTCAGTGATGTGCGAACTTGGCGCTATATTTCAAATTTCAGTGTTTTTGGTTTGATTACATTATTGAATTAAATTTATTATTGTCTTATTATTTTTTATGATTATTTATTAAATTATAATTTATGATTTCGTGTTTCAAATTTTATCATACCCGGGATGTTTACTAGACTCTTGTTCGGAGAGATTTCAGTGAGTTATTCCTAAAAATTACAGGCCTACAATTAAAAAAATAGATATTTCCATGGAAAAAAAGTACCGCTTTGAGTACAGAAATATGGACATAATCAGACCACTAGGGAGGTTAAATAATCGGAAGAGAAGCATAAGTCTAGCTATTCTTTAAAATGTTCCTGACCCCCTCGTCCTACCTATCCTGCCTAACCTGTATAAAAAAGACAGCTCTGGCTGCCCTGTGTCAGTGAGCAGCTGCTGCAGGGGAGAGGAAGGAGCACTGACAAAGGCTTGCCTACGGGAGCCTATGGATGATCTCATGGCTTCTGGGTTTCCCAGCTGTTGTTGAGTTCTCCCTGAGCTGGAGCTGCAGAATCGTGTGATTGAACCAGAGAAGATTAAAAATAGGTAAAGACACACATCAGATACAGGTTAGGCAAGATAGCTGGAAGGAGGGAGGGGGGAGGGAATATTTTTCATAGTTAGACTTAAGTAGAGTATACAAAGACCAAAAATCATCCAGTTCAGCAGGAACTGGCTGACATTCGGTCCACGTGTACTGCTAACAACTAGCTTCTGCCAAACAGTCATGGTGGAAAACCAGCATTGGATCAGCGCTTGTGGCTTATGGCTGGGATGAACGAAAAAAAAAAGTCATGGTGTTTACCAGGTACAAGACTTTTCTTCCACCTTAATGACCAACCAATGTATCCACTTCACATTGTTATCTCAAAAAGTTG